TATATTTGTATTTATATATACACATTTTACTTTTGTTGGTGCTGTCCAGTTGCAATCCTTATCTAGTGTAAATACGTATGTACATATTTGCGTGATATCAAAAATTATGTGTCTATATATATGTATATATATATATATATTTAAATATATACATGTATATGTGTTTATCAAATACATACATACATACATACATACCTACATACCTACATACCTACATACCTACATACCTACATACCTACGTACCTACGTACCTACGTACCTACGTACCTACGTACCTACGTACCTACGTACCTACATATGTACTTACGTACATACGTACATACATACATAGATGCATAGTTGCATAGATGCATAGATACATAGATACATAGATACATGCATGCATCGATACATACAAACATAGATACATACATACATCGATACATACATGCATGCATCCATACATGCATACATGCATGCATCCATGCATGCATGCATGCATGCGTACATAAATACGTACATACGTACGTACATGCATACATACATTCAGACATACATACGTACGTACGTACATACATACATACATAGATACATAGAAACATACATACATACATACATACATACATAGATACATAGATACATGGATACATGGATACATAGATACATAGATACATGCATGCATAGATGCATAGATACATAGATACATAGATACATAGATAGATAGATAGATAGATAGATAACTAGATAGATAGATAGATACATACATACACATACATACATACATACATACATCTTACTACCCCAAATTGTGCGGTTTGAAACCACCAACTAATCAAAACACGTTGCAATCCCATGTGGTTGCTATGTGTTTGTGGTGCCCATGGATTCCCAGGGTTTTTGGTTATTGATTCTTATCACCACATCTTGATCAGTGGAATGGTGTAAGTAGATGTCACCACATCAGTTTCATGCTTCATAGATCTCATAGATCCCCATTGGAATTCGGTGAACATCGATGATGTCCCATATTATGACTATTATATCCATACAATCCATACTATTCACATTCATCGATGATTTCCCCATGACATTTCCTGCCTGCTCCGGGCAGGCCTTACAAGAGCTGGGCCTTTCATCACCCGAGACAAAGATCTTGGCCATGAACCAACGGCCGTAGCGGGCGAAAACATGTAAACATGTGCTAACCAACTCTGGATGAGTTATAACTGAGTTATAATATATCATATAAATATAGTGACCTCACCTGGTGATGTCACTGCAATAATGGCTAGCAAGGGGAATCATCCCCAACTGGTTTTATGTTAGTTCTTTTGAGGTTGGTGCAGTATTAGAATTCAGCCAGGATGGGTAGGCTTATACATTCTTATACTATCTTATACTGATATGTTTTATTGTTTTGATGGGGAAAGATGAACCGACTACAAAGACTATGTTTTTGCTTGGTTAAGATTGAGCATGAACATGGCTGTTGGTTCTTAAGTACGTTATGTTTGCCAAAACAAAATGTAGTTTTTTAATAGAACAGGTTTTTGTGTTTTTAAGGGGCCAGTTCTCTCCTTCAGATTGGCCCAACATCTCGGGCACATCTGGATCATCCCGCAACAGCCGCGGAACCGGGCTCGGACAAAAAATGGTGCCTTTCGGAAGAGGTTTGGACTTGGAAGCCCCCTTGGAAGATGTGGATGAGACTATCGGTCAGAATTACTCGATGTATCTCTATTTTAATGGATCACTTGGGGGTTGGTGGATATGTGGCTTCAAATAAAACCATAGATTTACATCCGAGTAACGTTTCCATGAGGAAAGGTACCAGGGTGGAATGAGCAACAAAGAATCCGCATGCAACTTAGTTCCAAGAATCGATTCAAGGGTTGCGGACTAAACATGGCAAGATGCGAAATCCGAAAGCTAAAAGGAGGTTTAGTTCGCTGGGAAAATCTTCCAGCCATGTTTGATTGCTGGAGGGTAGTTGCCAGTATATACAGTGTTATATCCCAAATGACCAAGGTCGGTAGAAAATTTCCATGGTCCCAGAGTTTGTGTGGAATTCATAATTGTTAATATCCGTGTCCCGGCCCTATGAATTTGGTGGGCGCATATGAATTTGGATAAAATTTGGGTGTTGAACCATAAAACCAATGGTTTTATAATGATGTACAATGTATGGATATACCTAGAAATAACACAGAAAATCCATACCTAAGAAACCATCACGCATCACGGTATAGAACTACCAAGAAAATCCATGGCATACATTTCTATATCCCTCAAATCCAACTGTTTTTTTCTCCAAATTCGCCACAAGGTCATCGGTGATCCACCGGGCGGCAGTGCCGTGCAATGCTCGGACGCTCAGAGCGTTGGGATATCATGGGGACATAT